TCGGCTTGTAGTTCTCAATGAACTACCACGGTGCTGTGGAGCACTGTGGTAGTTCATTGATTCTTCCTGATAGTATATCTGCTTGCCTGTACAGGCAGGCAGATATACCGACAGGTCTGCAGGAGACCTATATGGCACCAGCGATCAATGGTTTACAGGCTCCTGCAACAAAAAATAACAAACGCACACTTTTTTACCTGCAAAAAAAATTTCAAAAGGTGAATGTATCCTTTAATTCCATGTCTAGCATCACTACTTTGTGAGTCAGCTCTCTGCTCACTAGACAGAGGTGATTATGGTTATTCATTGACCAATACGTAGTCTAGATGCAGAGAGATGACCCAGAAAACTGAATTGCTGAGCCAAGAAGATCCATTACTTAAATTGAATCTTCATTTACAAGTGAAAGTACCACTCATCCTTCTCCTCCCCCTCTCCACTAACAAAAGTTTTTTATTTTCTGGGAGTGAACACATTTCTGTGACAGATAAAAGCTCCCACTCTTGCAATTCTCGCCTAGGAAAAAATTACATTAGCTTGGCCTACCTACCGTGTCCGCAACCTCCTGGGACATGTCACACATCCCAGGGGGCTGCGGAACCGATCTGGCTATGCTACCTGATCTAACACATGCACAGGTGAGAGCTGGCTGTAATACATCAAGAAATCACAGCTGTCTCCCACATCCAAGATGGCAGTCCTGGAGATTGTAAGCCCAATGAAGAACTGGCTATGGTGAAGATAGTGCTGGACTTCTCAGCTGTTAACTACATATGTGTTAAAAGCTAAAGTATTTTTTGAGGTGTTAAAATTCTCAAGGTCTCAATCAAATCGAGCATCTGTGGGATGTGTGGAAAAAACATTCTGATCTATGGAGGCCCAACTTCCAATTTACAGGACTTAAAGGATCTGCTACTGACAGCTTGGTGCCAGATGTCATAGCATACCTTCAGAGGTCTAGTGGAGTCCATGACTGAACTGAACTCCAGGCAAACAACTAAGATTTTTCTGTTCATCCAGCCCAGCACAGCTTTGCTCAACACTGCCCTGTCTAACAGGGGTAGGAATCTGTTCCTTCTCAGTTACAGTTACAGGCCCTTTCCCTATCCCCACCTTGTGACTGAACAGTGAAAGGAGAAGTAGCACATTGATGAGTTAATCTCTCAGGCTCTAAGGTTTTCATTCGTCTGTTGTCAGAATGGCTCCTTGTACTTCAAGACATCTAACTCACTCTTTATTATTATTATTATTATTATTATTATTATACAGTATTTATATAGCGCCAAAAAGTTTGCTCAGCACTGTACAATATAGTGGGGGACAGTACATGAGGCAATACAGTAACAAAGCAATACACAAGGGGTTCGAGGGCCCTGCTCTTTCGAGCTTACAATCTAGGAGGGAGGGGATAGTGGTACAGGAGGAAGTGGCTGTGGGGGGATGGAGTGGTAGGAGGAGTGGAGGAGATCAGCTGTTAGGTGAGGGTTTGGTAGGCTTCCCTGAAGAGATGGGTTTTCAGGGTGCGCCTAAAGGTGAGGAGGGTAGGTGACAGTCTGATGGATTGGGTTAATGAGTTCCAGAGGATGGGGGAAGTCCCAGAGAAGTCCTGTAGTCGGGCATGGGAGGAGGAGACCACGGAGCTAGAAAGTAGGAGGTCTTGTGAGGAGCGAAGAGTACGGGTTGGGTGGTATTTGGATATCAGGTCGGTGAGGTCATTTGGGGCAGTGTTATGAATAGCTTTGTACATCAATGTTAGAAGTTTGAATTTTATGCATTGGGCAATCAGAAGCCAATGGAGGGAATGACAGAGCAGAGGGGGGGGTGGCAGATGCGGAGCGGTTGGTAAGGTGGATGAGTCTGGCCGCTGAGTTCAGGATAGACTGGAGCGGGGATAGTCTGTGATGAGGTAGGCCAATGAGGAGGGAGTTGAAGTAGTCGAGTCATGAGATAATAAGGGATTGAATGAGTTGTTTAGTAGTGTCTGGAGTTAAGAACGTACGTATTTTGGAGATGTTGTGGAAGTGGAGCCTGCAAGAATTTGCCAGCAATTGGACATGGGGTAGGAAGGACAGGTTTGAGTCTAGAGTGACACCTAGGACTTTGGCTTGCGGGGTGGGATGATGGTGGCGTTATTTGTCGTGATGGAGAGGGGGGGGGGGGGGGGGGCGTGGGCTGGGGGAAAACTAGGAGCTCGGTTTTGGAAAGGTTTAATTTGAGGAAGTGGAGTGACATTCAGTCTGATATGTCGTTCAATAGGCAGGTGATTCGGGCGGAGACTGAAGGGGTGAGGCGAGGGGTAGAGAGGTAGATTTGCGTGTCATCGGCATAGAGGTGGTAGTTGAAGCCGCGGGAGTGTATCAGTTGGCCAAGGGAGGAGGGGTAGACGGAGAAGAGAAGGGGCCCGAGGACAGAGCCTTAGGGGAACCCAAAAGAGAGGGGGAGAGAGGGGGAGGTGGCAGTGTTATAGGTAACACTGAAGGAGCGCTGGGATAGATAGGAGGAGAGCCAGGAGAGAGCGGAGTCTCTGATGCCAAGGAAGTATAGTTTATTAAGGAGGAGGGGAGGAGGACTGAGTAGTGGCTATTAGCTTTGACGGTTAGCAGGTCGTTCGTGATTTTGAGTAGGGCGGTTTCGGTGGAGTGTAGGAGACGGAAGCCAGACTGTAGGGGATCAAGGAGGTTGTTGTCATTGAGGTGGGAGCTTAGGCAATTATAGACTAAGCACTCAAGGAGTTTGGATGTAAATGGCAGCAGGGAGATGGGTCTAAGGTTGTTCAGGTCGGTGGGGTCCAGGGAGTGATGTGTGTGTGCTTTAGGGGGGAGGGGAATGCGCCAGTAGAGAGGGAGAGATTGAAGATGTGGGTGAGGGAGCGTAGGATGGAGGAGGAGGAGGGTGACCGAGGAGTTGTGTGGGAACAGGGTCAGGGGGCAAGTGGTGAGGCGGGCTTCTGAGAAGACCTTAGTGGCCTCTTCAGTGGTAGCAAGGCCGAAGGAGTGAAGTGCTGGGGGGGGTTTTAGTGTGCGGGATATTAGGTGTGGTGTGGGTCAGGGTGGTAGCGAGGTCAGAGGAGGGGAGAGTTGAGGGGGTTATCGTGGGAGGGAGGCTAGGTGGGGAGGTAGATTGAGTATTGGCAATGTCCTTACGGATTGTGTCGATCTTGTTATGGAAGTGGTTGGCAATCTCGTGGGCGGTGAGAGTGAGGTACTGGGTGGAGGTGGGGGGGGGGGGGGGAAGAGTAGGGAGTTGAAAGTGGAGAAGAGCCGGCGAGGACAGGTGGAGAGGGTATTGATGAGGGTTATGAAGTAGGCTTTTTTTTGGCGGCATGGAGGGAGGAGGTGTAGGTGAGGAAGGCGGATTTGTAAAGGGTGAACACTTGAGGGGATCTGGTTTTGTGCCATAATCGCTCCAGCGCAATCACTTAATTGCTCTTTGTGCTGCTTCTATCACCTCCTCTCTGAGCTCTGCTATACAGACTATAAAGATAATGCAGGAGGTGAATACCAAGTCAATTTTATTTTTTTACAGTGATTTCCATTTAAAAATACATTTAATGATGTGTTAATGATTAGAGAGCTGCATGTATTGTGTCTTTAATATCTGCTGAAGTTCACCTCTGTGTTGCCCCCATATCAGCAAAACATATTTATACCTACGCTGCAAAATAAACACACAGTTATAAATGTAAAAGGTTTTCTGTTATTAAAGTGTGCAGGATGTCTAATAACTGTAATGTGAGAGTTAAATTAAGCAGTTTTTCTTTTTTTTGCCACAAGATGGGGATGATGAGCACATTGACCTTCCTGAACTGCTTGGGAGCAGAGAGAATGCTGGGAACTGTATTTTCTGACTAGAGTTCTGACTGGATTTTTCAACAGTCTGTACTGATCAAGGCTGGAGCTACAAGCCACAGACAGAACATCTAGGAAAAGAGGATCACTGTATGTCAAAGGGACAGAAACACAGCTGCATTCCCACTTGCCGTTCAGTCACAGCCTTTCTGAATTTACTTGTTCCTGGTCTGTCATCTGCATGAGGGGAAAAGAATTGCTTCTGTCTGTCACAGAGAGAAAGAGGGAGGCACAACCACATCCTCAGCTGCCACTCAGAGTTGGCCTGCACACCACACTGCTGACTTGATCCCTTCCACTCTTGTCTATCAGTCGCCTGACAAGGGGGGTACTGCTCCAGTCTGTAAGGAGAGGGGGAGAGGCCTGGCTGCATTCCTAGTTACGGTACAGTCTCCTGATTTTGTCTGAAGATCGCACCACCAACCCAACTTTGAAAACTCTTGCCCATCCGACACCAGAGGGAGAAGAAAATGGCACACCGCACCCTGACTGCTGAACAATTCAGTTCATGCACTAAGCAGTGATGATGGACTCTGTGCACCTAGTGCAGGGGTATAAAACTGGCGGCCCTCCAGCTACAAGTCACATAATGCCTCTGCCTTTGGGAGTCATGCTTGTAACTGTCAATTATGCAATGCCTTATGGGACTTGTAGTTTGGCAACAGCTGGAGGGCCGCCAGTTTGACACCCGTGACCTAGTGCATTGCACCAGCCTAGATTGCCAGCCACCAAGCTGCTATGGGGAGAGCAGCACACCCCAGTCCTCAGAGGGGCCCTTTCATCACTGCAGTCTGTCACCTCAAGTCAAGGAGCTGGTGAGTGGGTTATTGACCTAATTTAGAGTTATCTACCTATACAAGTCATATTACACTCAGTTATCTTTCCTCCTTCCTGGCTAGTCTGCAGGGTCCATACTGACTTTACATCTGTTCAGTCCATTGTCCTGTATGTTGATCTACAGTGTATAGCCAGGGGCGGACTGACAACTCATGGGGCCCCCGGGCAATAGGGGATCATGGGGCCCCTGTGTGCTTGCCCAAACTCAAAAAAGCCTATGAAAAAGGTACCAGGGGCATCTCATGGGGCCCCCTACTGACCCCAAGCCCTCGGGCAGTGCCCAAGTTTCCAAATGGTCAGTCCGTCCCTGTATAGCCCACTACCACTACACTGTGTGCAGTTGTGGCCAGCTTTCATCAAGTGTACCAATAACACAAGGGCCCCAACACAGCTGGCAGAAGATCTATACTGAGGACTGTATATTGTTTAGAGATTAGGTCTAATCCACCCATCATTGGTATGCCCAGATATCATAGCTCTATACTCTTGCTACATTAACTATGTGTTGTCTGTGTTGTCATACACTTGTGGGGAGCTGCAGTTTATGCTTCACATGTAAAAGTTCACTTTTTATTATTGGTGTACATTGTCATTGAAATGTTACCACATACTGTACCATTATACTTTGTGCACCTACTTCTCAAGAGAAAATATATGCTTTTACCTACTGTATAGTCTTGAGTTTGATTACTGGGTGACCTTAAGGTACTGCAAAGTTCACAAATCCAAGCTGCCAAAGGTGACATAACGTGAGGTGTCACAGGGGTTGAGGTCTGATACAGAGCAAGGTGAGAATAGAGGACCCAACACTATTAGCGGGTCCTACGGGGGTAGCTCTACATAAATGTTATGACTATTTCCCTAAAAATGCTTTTCCATACTGTACCTTTTTTGGTTTTTATTTTATTCAACTTCCCTATGGAAGATTTAGGTTATAGCTTATCAGAGGATCACAGGTACATATACATATACGCAGGCTTGAGACCTGCTTGGAGAATACTTGGTAGTGTCTTTTTCTAACAATCAAGGCAATTGAAAGGTTAATGGTCTTACATTCAAATACTGCCAAGCATCAAGCATATATCAGTTTAAACCAAAGTTTTAAAGCCATAATGGTATGCGGTAATGCTTCCACTAAAAGAGAGTCAGATTTTCATTAGTAAAGGAGGCTCTTCTTTGCTTTGTCTGAACTATTTACATTATTTAGCAGGACATCATGTACATGATCTCATTTGGGAGTATCATTAACAGACTTTACTGCAGTTTGGATTGATTTATGAATTAAATGGTACAGTTTTCCCTGTCCTCACAGTAACTTTTTTCCATTGTGTATAGTTAGATGTGGAGGAGGGATAATATTAGAAACCTGAGTTAAAGAAGGCCCCTGGTGCATACACCTCTATATATCTTCATGTATCTAAAATAATGTGAGATTCGTTGGCTTGCTCAAAATCAGCATTGTGTACACCAGGTATTCCCTATTGATATGCTTACCTGAGCACAGTGGGGTAAAGTTCAGGAGTATAAAGGTAGGCACAGACAATGGAAGAGCCAAGAAGTCCCTTGGCTAGTACAGTAAGAGACATCTGCAATAGTATTAAATCTGAAATAAACAAAGAACTATAAATATATGGTCATTCACCTGCAAGGATTTAAACATAAAAGGAGAAATAACACATGAATGAGCATTTATAAGGATTCTAATTAATATTTATTAGTAATTTTATTATGTGCACTGTCAACTGAAAAAAATATTCTGATTGTTGCAAACATGGTCCACTTTTCATCATAGTGGAGCTTTATACAAACAGTAAATTACCAAGTGAAAATACACATCAGCCATAACATTAAGATCACTGACAGGTACGGTGATTAACATTGATTATCTTGTTACAACGGCACCTCAAAGTCGGCGGGATATATGGGGCTGCGTACCCACAGACTGGTCATAGTGCCCATGCTGACCCATGTCCACAGCCAAAAGAGTCTACAATAGGTAGGTGAGCATCAAAACTGGACCACAGCGCACTGGAAGAAGGTTATCTGGTCTGATGAATCATGCTGGGAAACCATGGGTCCTGCCATTCATGTAGATGTTACTTTGACATGTACCACCTACCTAAACAATGTTGCTGACCAAGTACATTCCTTCAAAGTAACTGTATTCCCTGATGGCAGTGGCTTCTTTCAGCAGTAGGCATGTGCGATTCGTTTCGTTATGAATCAAAATTCGGACAATTTCTGAATCACAATAGTAATGAATTTGAAAATGAATCTGAATTTAAAAATGAATTTGAAATGGAAACATTGCAATAAATACAGTTAGGTATAAAAGTGAAATAAGCTGATAATTCCTACTTAGGCTGTAGAATAGAATAGAATAAAAAAATAGAATTGAATGAATACAGCCCAAATTCAAATTTTGAATTTCAAATCGATTTGAAAATGACTGTTAGGGATCTGGGTATGACCAGAAATGTGTGGACTGACACAGGGAAGTAGCAGGCTTCAAGAACACAGGCGTAGTCAGGCTGGAGAGGTGGAATGGTCAGGCAGGCAGTAAGGTACTGTCAGGTGCCACCTGGCAGTGTCTCTAGCAGCCCACAGCATGGATTTCCTCAGGGCGTGGGGTCTAAGTCCCAGCCTGCTATTCACCAGGGCCCCTGATGGTGGGGATGGACTTGGTGCAGACTGGAACCAGGTCGCGACCCCTGAGTGCGTCCGGCTATAGTAGAGAGTACTGGCAGGGGAGTGCAGGAATGGAGTCTGATGGGAAGAGGCAGGCAGACTTACCAAAGGTGATCCGTGCGGGATGGATCGTCGGGTGAAGTAAGCGTAGTCAGACAGGCCGGGTCGGTATCGTGCGGGCAGCGTGGTACAGGAGGAGCAAGCAGAGAATGGTCGGGGTCACAAGTCAGGTTCAGCAGGTAGCGGGCAGCGCAGTACCAAGGATCAGGCAGAAGGATGGTCAGGCAAGCCAGGGGTTCAACAGGAGATGGTCAGCAGAGGTCAGGATCAAAGCAGGGTCAGCAACAAGGCAGGAACACAGGATATAAGGTACAGGGGCTCATGGGAAACATACACCAAGGCCCAGATCACAGGCCTGGTCATTCCTTATATGCACCTCCTGCAATCAGCCTCAGGTGTTTTGGCTGATTGCAGGAATGAGCCTCTGGTTGCTGAGAGCACCCGCTAGCCAGCCCTGGTACTGCAACCCACAAGGCAGGTTTTCCCACCACTACTGGCGAGTCCATTCCTGACAATGACAAATGTACAAAACAAATCCGAATATTTGAAACAAATTCCGAAGTGAATCATTCTAACATAACAAACATGAAGAAATGAAATTGTTAACTTAACGAACGAATCTAAAAGTAAACACCTTTTTCCATCATGCACATCTCTTTTCAGCAGGATAATGCAACCTACCATACTGCAAAAATGGTTCAAGAATGGTTTGAGTAACACAACAATAAGTTTGAGGCATTGACTTGGGCTCCAAATTCTTCAGATCTCAATCCAAGCATCTGTGGGATGTGCAGGAAAAACAATCCCAATCCATGGACACCCTACCTCACAACTTTTTTTTGGTTGATACTGGATGGACTTTTGTCTTTTTTCAGCCAGACTAACTATGTAACTTAATGGAGTTAAAGGATCTGCTATTGGCGGTTTGGTGGCAGATACCAAAGTATACCTTCAGAGGTCTACTATTGTCCATGCTGCAACAGGTCAGGGCTGTTTTGGCATCTAAAGGAGCTGTTTTGGTTGCAAAGGGAATCTTCTCAATATTAGATTGGTCATCATAATATTATGGCTGATCAGTGTATGTTTGCTATTTAACTAACAAAATTGATTCAGTTCAGACAATATTGTGATTTATATACAAATTGTCAGGGACCCCAGGCTTTACCGTGGCTCGCGGGTCTGCGCATGCGCAGTATGCTGGGGCGCACTAGCGTGCGGGCACTAGGACCTGGGTGCCCGCGATAGCAACGGCGCTCAGGCATGTGCACTCGCGATCGCGGACATGCGCCTGGCACCAATGGGAGCGCAGGACGCCCTATTTAAACTGGATCTGACTGTGCTAAAATTGCCATATGGTATTTTCCTGTATCCTGAATTCCTGAGAGATTGCCTTGTTGCCGACCCTGCCTGACCTTGATTCGCTGACTGTCTCTTGCTCTGATCCCTGGCTTGTCTGACCATTCTCCTGTCTAATCCTGTACGTTTGATCTCCTGTTACTGAACCTGGCCTTTATTCTTCTGCCTGCCGCTTGTACCATCCTGCCTCCACTGTTACCGACCTGGCCTGTCTGACTTCGCTCATTCCGCCTCCTCACATCAGGCTCACACCTGCTGCGTACCACCGGCAGGTGCTTCTATCACAGCTGGTTGCACCCAGGGGCCGTGACCTGGTTTCGGCCTGCTCCAAGTCCATCCCCACCATCAGGGGCCCTGGTGAACAAGCAGGTCGGGGCTTAGATTCCGCGCCCTGGGGAATCCCGGTCTGTGGAGCACTAGAGGCTACCTCCGGTTATTCCATAACACAAATGATAAACTGCGTAGCCAGGCAATTCACACATACCTTTTCTGTTTTTTATATATTTATATTGCACAATTAATCAAAATACCACTTACCCAAGATAAGTGATATATGATGGTGTTGATCCGAGGCACAGTAAAGCTGAACCTGGAAGTAGCAAAGTGATCTTCTTGGCTGTGCATTTTGGCAGAGGCATCTAAATTACATGGTTAGCTGAGCATAATTCTAAATTTTATTGCTGTGTGTGACCCCATAGAAACATTCCCCACTTTCTACCCCCAAGATATCATGTGTTTCAGAGTGTGACAGGGTGTCACTGGGGCAAGAAGTAAGTTTAGATCTTCCTCAAAAGGGCAAAACTATATATTGGGGGCATAATGTTATTAGTCTAATGCTACTGGAGGTATCATCAAAACATGATAAAAAGAAGTACTGTACATCTTACAGTATACGAAACTTTAAATATTTATGGTGTAACACACAATAGAAGAAAAAGGTTAAATTTTATTACATCATATTGATTTTGAAAGCATCTTCTATGTGCTGCTGTGCTCTGCCTGACCTAGCAGGAGAAGTGAGTTATGGGATTATATGACATATATTTTTTATACTTGGAGTGCTATTCCACCCGGAACTCTTGGGGAGTGTGTGTGTGTGTTGGGCTCTATTTGATGACTTCTTTCATCCCTCTCCCTGTTTTGTTTCATACTTTTCTAATGGTATGTGGGATTCGGTCTTTCCTATACCCCACTTATGGCATTGGCATCAGCGTTTACCATTGACACATGGGGGTGGGGGTCAGTTTGTTTCTATTTTATGGCATTTTATTAGTTTTTGTTTATCTATGTGTGTTGCTAGCAC